CCTGCCCACACACCATCTGGGCCCACAAATAGCACAACCTGGATCGAGTGGCTCCATAAGCAACCTGAAACAAGTGGAAATACTCTGCCCGGATGGGACAAGCCAGAAGAGCTTGTGGAGGGCAGCTCTACTGACCTGTCCCAGTCTGCAGACACACACTTCCACGTGTTTCCAAGTTGGAACTGCCAGCTTTCTGTTGTGGAAGCAGTGGGTCCTGCTGGTACAACGCAACAAGGAGCTCATCAATGTCAGACACTGCCCAGAGAGATCGCTGTTACAAGAGGAGACGGAGGCAATGGACTGCTGCAGTCATCTCCGTTTTGGGTTATTGGAGCTTGTGGGTCCTGGAGAGTTGGGGGAAAGCGTTTGCCTCAAGGACAGCAAAGCATCTTGGAACAGCAGAGTTTGCAGGGGACTATAAGACCTTCGAGGCCAACCCATCGCTCAGTGCAACACTCCAGCCTAAAGCATTCCTCTTTATGGGAACTTCATCACAGAAGGACCCGGTCCTCCTGTAGGAGCTTGCCCGGCTCCAGCATCTTCTGGGCGGGCCATTCGCTTGGTCCTTCCTTCCTTCCTTCCTTCCTTCCTTCCTTCCTTCCTTCCTTCCAGGTACGCCTGGTGGAAAGATGGGAGAGGACCTTCACAGGCTCAGTTGGCGCCTCCCCTGCCGCATTTCCAAAAGCAGGTGAAAACCATTTTGATTCAGCAGGCATTTGGGAATGGCCTCTGAGCTTGTGCTGAATTACCCTTACTCTTCATATTCTTGGTTATATATTAATCTGGGTATTGATACCTAAATGATTAAACTATGTTTCTAACTTCTGCATATTTTTAAATATTGTTGCTATATGGATTTTAATATTGTAGCCTGCCTTGAGTCCCAAACACTGGGAATAAGTGGGGTATTTATTTATTTATATTTATTTATTTGGTTATTTATTTAAAGCTTTTCTATACTGTCTGACTAAGCAGTCTTGGGACAGTCTTACAATAAAAAAGATAAAGAGATAAAGATAATGGAAATGGCAATGGTAATAGTCTAGATTTTCCAGCGTCTAGATGGGGTGCTTTGGAGTGATGGGGAAGCAGGCTGGAGTGACCTCAAGAGTTCTCATAGTCCACCCTGCCATCTCCTCCTCTTGTCCTGAAGTATCCCCTTTAAGCATTCTCTGAGGGACCTACCCATGGCAGAGGGTGGCAAGTGTACTCCTTCGGTGATGGGGTGGAGAGGTGAGTCAGAGCTGATTCCCAGCTCCTAGGTTGGACCACTACCTCTGACCTTGGAACTGGAAACCTAAAATACTCTGTGGATCTTCAGATGCTTTCCACAGACCATAGGATGGTTCCCTTGGTGAGTCAATTTGCAGGCAGGTTAATGGAGGATGAAGCATTTGAATGCAATGGAATGCTTGAGTGGTTTCGGTGGAAGTCCGAAAATTCAGTTGAAATGGATTGGCTTGAGATATCGGAGAGGTTTTGGACCAAGAGCTCCAACCTGCTCGCCCTCTCCTCTGAACTGAAGAATTAACACTATTGCTGTTCAGCATAGTAGCAATGGGCTGCAGTGCAGGACTTCTTGCTCTCAGAATAGCAGTCCAGCTTCCAACAGAGCTATCAGAGTAAACCACGCTACTCGACTGCTATAGATGATTCTCTTTTCCCGACCTCTAATGTGTGGACAAAAGCAATGGAAAAACTTTACAGGGCTCTTGCAGTTCCTCCATTTCAGCCCAAAGTGCAACAGGGCCATGTCCTACAGTGCTTCATGGGAGCCGCTCTGTGCGACTGTCGCACATCATGCTTCTCCCAGCCAGAGACCCTTCCAACCCACTGTGATTCTTTAGCAGGGCAAGAAGAAGAAGAAGAAAACAATGGAGACAGTTCTTTGTCACTATCTTGGGGTCAGGGTGCAGTGCACAAATCACTGCGCTGCCCCAACTCAGCTCAGTTAAAATCTGGCCTTTCTCCTTTGATGCCTATTGGCCACTTTCATATCTATTTCAACTTCTCCATGCAAATTTGGAGATGATGTCTCTGGGAAATCGAATTGTTTTCTCTGCACCTTTACACACCTCTGCTCTTCTGTCCTCCCTCTCCAGCCACTCCATTCACCCCGCCCCCTCCACATTTCCAACTCTTGGGATTCCATGTCATTCAAGTCTTATGGGAATATAATAGGGATCTCCCTTTTTAGGGATCTCCCCTCTAAAACCTTGAGAATTTCTGCAGGCCTGAATCTAACAGTATGCCCTCTTGGTGCTGCCATGTGGACTTCATAATGAAAGTTACTCCACTCCAAAATTCCAGAATAGACTATATGTTGATAAAAAAAACTTTCAACCATGTCCCACCATCTAGTTATGGGACTTTAAAATCCCAAGGGCAAAATTCATTGGTGGGGAAACTCCCTGTGGGTCAACTTCAGTGGCGGACATGGGTGAAGGCAAGGCCCTTACTGTCTATAATGATGCCTTAGGAGCAGCATCTCAACCAGTCAGAATGGGGAAGGGAGCTGTGTAAAAGCTGGAATCCGCCTCCTTTTATAAGGTACAGCACAGAATTGCAACGATGGCACAGATCCAGGGCTGGCCAAAAATGTCATTCTTCTGCCTGAGGCCAGGGCCGAGCTGGCACCCCCTTGTCATGCCAAGAACAAAAGTCAAATGGACTGGCACCTGACTCTTCATCAATGGAGGCAAGATGGCACCTTCCACCACACCGGAAGGCAGCACGACCATCTGGGGCAGGTGTGGGGAAGTGCTTTCAGCCCCAGGGCCAAATTCAACTTTTGAGAAACTCTTGGGAGCAATATTCCAGTGGAGGGTGGGTCCAAAGGCAAAGGGGGTGGGTCAGAAGCTGCAAAAAGTACCAGTGCATTTTAGCTTAAGAGCTGTTATCGCTAGTACATAAATAAGGCTTAGGAAAGGCATTCCAGCCATTTGGCATCAGGTGGGAAATAGGGAAATTGCCAAACGGCTGGCAGTCTTCTTGCTGTGTGCTATCAGGTCCTCTCCAACCTACGGCAACCCCAGGCGTGGAAGTCCCTCAAAAGGTCCTGTTCATGACAGCCCTGCTTAGGTGCTCTAAGTTCAAGGCTGTGGTTCTTGCTGTCATCCGGGAGATTCCAGTGCAGCACTGAATTTGACCTTCAGGTCAGAGATTTTGCTCTAGCATGATTAAGAACCTGAACCCAGGGGAGCGCCTTGCCGCTTTGTGTCCTGGATAAGGCAGCAGGGACATCTCAGGCTCAAAAGGTATCGCCACACATGTTCATACGTCTTCCTTTGTTTTCGCCCAAGCACTGCCAAGGACTGCTTGCAATAGGCATGGCATCTTCCTGCATGCACCCACCCGTTCTAGTGACAGGCATTTCAAAGGATACCATCCAAGGGGAAGTTGATCCAGAAAACCTGCTCAAATGACACAGGCTTGCTTTCCTTCCGAAAGTGCCATCCCTTAGGGCAAGGACCCACTTATGCAAACAAAAGGGGCAGGCATAGATTATATTCTGAGACAAGTCACAGGGGAAGCATCAGTAAAGATGAAAAATCGCAGTCCGCCATTGCACCTTTCCATGCATCTAGTGTGCAATAAGGCACTGAGCTGCCGACACCAGTGAAGGCCTAGTGTTCACATAAAGCCACTGAAGTGTCTGGATTATATTGCTTCCAAGTAGTGGGGGCAAGGGAGGCTGACACGGAAGGGACACTTCCATGTGAGTATGGAAGAGCTGATGGGCTCTTACCGCACAATCTTGCTATATGGACCATAATCCATTCCTGGCAAAACACCAGCTATATGTAGAGTGCGCTAGCAGGGATGTCCAATAAGTGCAATAGGAAATGAGTGCTTGCTTGTGCGACTCAGGAAACTAGCTGAAGCCACCACTTCTGGAGTGAAATGGATCAGCAGAGCACCATTCCGTAAGTGGTAGGTTTGGTTAGTTTCCCATTGCACCGGTAGCCATTCCTGCTAACACATTGGGTATTGCCATTTTTTATGTGGATGGGCAGCAGACAGAGACTAGAAGGCCATAGGATTTTTCAGAGGCCCTGCCCCAAGCTTGGAAATGTGCCCCAAGCATGGAGCTGGGACTTGAAACGCCCCCAACCCTACAGCTGGTGCAGAAAGAACAGCGTGGGCTGTTGCAAGGTGGGCTTTTCAGGGTGAGGATGGGAACAGGGAGGAGAGGGGGAAACAAAGGCACTGCTAGCCTACAAAGTATCCTCGGGGCACCTTTCACTCCTTCCTGCCCAAATACTTAGAAGCTGGAAGTGGCTGTCTAAAAGTTTTGCAAACGTCCCACCTCCATGCTCCTGCCATGAGTATGACGCATACCTTCCCCTCTTGTCTGGAGAGTTATGAGTAGCGTAAGAGGGGTGGAAGTTGCATGCTTCTTTTGTGTAAGCCAACAGTGTGAAGTGATGTTTGATCAAATGAATCAATGCATCTAGCAAAGCAGAATTTGGGGTAGCAGGATCCTAGTTCAACCTTCTCCCCAGTATAATTTTCCATATTGCGGAGAAGTTTGTGAATGCGCATGTGGCTAGCATTACATTGCAGAAGAGCACTGCATGTGCGTAACAAGACATTGCAGAAGAAGGTTCTATCCTATCAGTCCTCCCTGCTGCAGGCTGAAGTAGTCCCATCCAGTCACTCATCTGGCGTCTGGGAGAATGGAAGTTGCTGCGAAGAAGCACTGTTTCAAGGGCTTGATGAGCGCTTGTGGCAATGGAAGGCACTCACAGGTCCTAATGTGAGTAGCCTTGCTTTGTGGCTCTAGTTCAGTTAACACTCAGCTGAGATGGGCGGGCACCCTGGCACTCCCTGGATGCTGATGCATAGGGTAATTATGACCTGCAGTGCTGCGCTTCATCATTTGCACTTCGGATTAGAGAAAAGGTTAAACAGCTCTCGGTTTTCTCCAAGGTTTTCCTTAGGGAGGTGCACGTAAAACATGTTCACAAATGATGCTAGAGGAGAAAGATGGAACTTACATGCTGCTTTCCCACTATGTTGTCAAAGGGAAGCTCGGGGCTCCACGAGCCCTCCGTGAAAGTTGCTCCGCTGTTCCTCCTGTCGGAAGAGGTGATGGCCTCTTTGACAATGTCTTCGGGCAGAGTGAGCAGGTTCTCCTCAGGCTGTTTGATCAAGTAGGTCTCAATGTTGTGCTTCCTCAAGAATTCATTGCGTTCCTTTCCGTACCCCTCTTCAACTTTATAATCCTCATTTAGGCAGTCTAGGGTGGCCTTGGAGATGTGGATTCTCCTACAGTGGTACAAAAGGGAGATACAATTAACAGAGATGGGGCTGGAGTATCACATGCTGCACAATGCAAGGGAAACCAGCAGGAAAACATTGCAGTATGTTCTCACCAACAAAGAGGAGCACCCCTGTTTAGGGTCTCAGCCAGCCTGGCCCCTCTCCTAGATAGTTCATTCTCCTTCCATCACTGCTGTTTGCCCAGTAGTGTTCTCTGGCTACTGAGATTGCTCATTCATCAGAGGCCATTTTGGGTGCCCCTCTTTTTAAAAAAGTCTTTGTATTTCAGCAAACTGCTGGGTTACTGCAAACGTGTGGTACTGGCAGTCCCCAGGTTACAAACATCCGAGTTACAAACAACCCATACTTACAAACAAGCCGTGATAAAGTCTATTATTTTTTAAAAATGACTGTGGACAATTGCCATCATTACAGAGAGAGAGCCAGTGGAAAGGGAGCAAGGGAGGGCCTCCAAAGCATCACCATATCGAAAGAGGAAGTGAAAGGGGGGAGAGGGAGGCTGCCAAAGCATTCCGTTTCATCCTGCCCACCCAGAGAGGGAAATCTCTCCAGCATTTCTTTGCTGCAAACAGGAAGCACTGGTGAGTTTGCATGTGGGGGTAGAGATATTCATACTTTTTCCACATTCGTGAGGGCCCTGCACCCCTAACCCCACTGAAAATAGGAGGCCCAACTATACATGAACTGACTACATAAAAATTCAACTTAAAGACAAATTTCCATTTTCTCGGGAACAAAATTCATTTGTAACCTGGGGACTGCTTGTACTTTTGCTTTCCACTGTTCCTCACCACCTGAGTTCCTTATTAGAGAAAGTAATTTCTCTCAAGAGGATCATGAAACGTTACTGGTTCTGATCTATTTCAATCTCAACAGTTAATACCAAGAAATCAATGCACAAGGATAGTGGGAACCACATGACAGATTGCAATTGGTGATGGTGAAAATATGAGTTTTAAAGACATACCTAAACCTGTAATGTTTGAGCATGCAAAAATGGCTTGGAAATGTATGTATGACACACAACAGAGGGGTTATGTTTTAGCTATTGATTCATCAAATGTATAGTTGCTACTTGGCCCTTATTAGCTTGCCTCAAGAGCTCTGCCTTTGGTGTTTTACTTTTTTCCCCCTTAAGCTCCAAAGAAACTTGTCTCCTAGCCTATGATCAGCTCTATCTGTTATGATCAAATGTCAGTACTGAAGCAAATGCTTCTAAATACTAAGTACTTCTAAAAGGAATCCACATGGGAAGATAATCTTGCTGATAAAGCATACCATCTGTTTACATGCCAATCACTGTTGAGCACACAACATGTGTGGGAGAATTCTTTAGGCAAGTTATAATAAGGAAAATCAGTAGTGGTTTCACTAATTGCCACTTTCTTTCCGGACTCGATAGGAGACATCCTTGGTTATTGAACTTATTTGGGGGACAGAGTTCAGAACCATGGAGAGTTTGCATAATATGCAAAAAAAGCAGCAGTCTATGGTCTCCCCTGGCATCACTAGACCCATTTCCTCCCATGGAAGCAAGAGCAGACCCCCCTTCCATTTTGTGGGGACTTAGCAAGACCCAGCTCTGAACAATTATCTTTCTGGAAATCTGGTGAGATGGGAATTTCTTGCTTCAGGAACAGAGAGAAAATAAATGGGAAGAAGAGATGGATAAATATAGTCCCGTTTCACTCAAGTAGGATGAAACTTTCTTTCTTCTACTTCTCCTTTTCAGTGATAGGTTTATTAGTAAAACGTGTAGGGGTTTGGAGAAGTCGCAGGTGGGAGATAAGGGAATGGTTTGTAATCTCCTTTCTGCCAGAATTTACTGCACTTAGGTTAATTTGCCATTGTAATTCAAAAGAGGTGAAACCTGGCCCATTTAAATTAATCGTTCAGCTCTGACTTTGCAGTTCTCCCTTAAGTCTGCATGTTAATGAACATCAAGCCTCAACTTTAATTGGCTCTATTCATTTGATTAAATAGATGCAATGAAAGGACATTGGTGTCCATCAATATGCAAATGCAAGGCCCAATCCATGAACCAGGTTAGCTGCAGAGCAGGGGTTTAGTCCCATGAATGAGAGGAGGACAAAGATCAATTTTAAACTGATCTTCTCTAATCCAGCACCCTTCAGTTTTATTGGGCTATAGCTCCCATCAATCATTCTGGAGGGCATCAAGCTGGGCAAGTTTGGTTTAAATCCATGTCCACTAGTTTACTGTACGATCCAGAACGTGTAGGGAAAGGCCCTTGGGGTGGCAAGAAAATGGGAAACAAAGGTAACAGTTTTTTATGTGTTTCATGGATTGTCAGGTGTCCTTGGTTCCATCATCTGCTCATAGAGGTAATCTGATTTTTTAAATAAGAAATTCATTCTACTTTTGCTAATTGGCACAGTGAAACAACAGCCTGGAAAAGCAGATCTGTGGGTCAGATTCATAGAGAAGAACTATTGATTTCTCTAACACTCCATTGTGACTTTCATAGTTACAAAGTACTGCTTAGCCTCTGGTGGTTCACCAAAATGGGTTATAACAACCACAACAATACTAGAGGCATTGTAGAGGTCATAATAGAGGTATTGAATATAAATTTGATTTTCTTCTTCTGGCAAGGAACCCAAGGCAGCTTACAAGGTTCTCCTCTCTCCATATTGTCCTTGCAGCAGCGACAAGGTAGGTTAGACTGAGAAGAAGTTCCTGGCCCAAAGCCACCCAGTGCGCTTCACGATCGAGTAGCAGCTGGAACCTGGATCTCTGAAGTCTCAGTCCAACCTTCACGCTACAGTGCCACATCAGTACCCTCCAAGTGTTTTGGACTTCAGTACCCATCAACCCCAGCTCACATGGCTGAAACCAGGGATTTTGGGAGCTATGGTCCAAAAGGTTAGGGAAGACAGATCTGTGGTATAACGTAGCTAGGAAAGACTTACTGATTGAATAACCTGAGAGCAGATTGAATAACCTGATAGGTCCTTGAGTGTATCACTTTTTGGAGGTGGAAGAAAAAGTCCTATCAAAATAGGTGGACATGAGGCTGCTAGATGGACCGAGTGGTGGGGTGGGGAGGTTGACGAAGTAGCTTCCCTGCTCCTTCTCGTTGCTGTTGAGAAATTGTGCTGCCTGAGCATGCCAAAGAAAACAGTGCCTCTCAAAAGGTGTTGAACAAGACAGGGTACGGCAGATAGACAGGGCATCTGCACCTAACAGTGAATGCAGCTTGGCATTTGGCTGGAGAGCTACTGTGTACATCACACATGGACCATGCGACGCAAAGGTTACCAACATCAACACACACACACACCCCATGCAAAATGTCACACTGCTGTGAGCACTGCCTGAAGGGCATGCTTCCCAAATGCCAAGTCATCAGGGTGGCAAATCAAATGTAGTCTGGAAGGCTTATGGGGGACAGGCCACTGCCTGAATACTTGGCTCACCCACCACTCTCATCCCATCTTAGCAACCTAGGAAAGGTACCTCCAAGTCCCAGTCCCTTTATGTAATTTGAGAATATTCCTACAGAGTTCAGAAGATGTGGAAGATAAGGCTGAATTGTGGTTAGTACTAATGTAAACAAAAGCAACAACTCATGTTAAAGATCTGACTGCCCTGTCCAAACTTAAGCCATGCATCTTCTCAAGCGATAGTCATACTGACTCTTGGCCAGTGCTCCTCCAGTTTGAGTGATGGGTTTCATGTCCCTCTGCATGTCTACTGAGAAGAAAGTCCCATTGTGCTCAAGGAGAACAACTTCCTGGTAAGCATGCATATGGCTGTAACCATTGCCCATTGCCCAAGTTCACATGACAATCCATGGCTCGGTGTGGGTGAGTCAGCTCATGATGAGCGTTATGAAGGGCTGTTTAAACCTTGCACAACCCACAGGGCCCGAGTTCACATGGACTGACAGCCCCTTTGGGGGGACTGAAGAAGCAGAATGGCAACTAACATGCATCACAGTCTCACTAAAGGGTAAACAGAAACAGAGCAAGTCAGAAGGGTCTCCCGGGCCATCTAGTCTGACCCCCGGCTCCAGCCGGCTCCGCTCACAACATGCCTCCCATGTGCACATCCAGCCTATCCTTGAATGATAAAAAGCCGTCAGTGTGTTTCCGTGTCATATCTTCATATTATGTGTTGCTGGAATAGTCTGGATGTGTGTTTCATGGACAGGGTTCTTCTTTGCTAGTTGAAATCTCGGATTGTCCTGTTTAAAGGTCTCTGTGTATCTGTGTGTGTTTAGTATTGGACTAATCTACTCTTGGACAGTGCAGAAATGGACAGACTGACTTTGTCACTGAAGGAGAAAGAAGATACGGACTTCTATCAAACTTGGGATTCTTTTTATTATTGGCTAGAGAAACGGGGCTTCACATAGACTTAAATATGTTTATAGTTTAACATAAAAAGAAAAAGTGAGGGGGGCTGACCCAGTAGGTCCAATGTTTCAATGATGATTGATGTTGTTTTTAGTGTTTTCTTTGTGTTAGGTTTATTTAGAATAAAATGAATGAATGAATGAATGGAAGGAAGGAAGGAAGGAAGGAAGGAAGGAAGGAAGGAAGGAAGGAACTGAACTAATCTACGAGCCTCCAACCTCATTCTCAGATTGGCTAGAAATATGATGAGGTATATATTTTGATATACTGTAAAGGGAAATGGCTTGGTTTATTCTGAGTCAAGCCAGTTGAATTGGACCCTGACACGCTCAGATGAGGCTTGCTCCTTCTGCCGTCTACTCCTCCTCATAGCCTCCCACTGCCTCTGGTGAGCCAGATTTTGGGAAAACTGCATTCTCCGGTGCTTCCAGCAACCGGCTCATTGCCATGATAGCACCAGCATTATAAATGAGGAACAGGGAGAGAAAGCCACAATTAAACATATACAAGGAACATGGGAACTGGATACTTGGGGAGGGATGGGCTCAGATTAAAATCAAGGCAGAAAAGAACTGAATTGGGGTACGTGTGTGTGTGTATGTAGGGAACCACAATGCTCCCTTCTTGTTTAAGGTAAGTATTACAGATCACTGAGACTTATATCCCAAGACCGAGAATAACAACACTTTGATGACATTTCAGGATTTTAAAAATCTACAGTATGTAACACGGGTTATGACTTCCATTTTATGGTCTGTTCCCATGGCTTAAAGGATGTAGAAGCTGATAAGCTAACAGTTGAACTCAGGCAGTTGAAATTTCACCTTGGCTGTAAACTAAGCATCCCCTGCTGCTAGGTAGGTAACACAAAATGTGCACAAACAACGCACTTAGCAACGGTGGTTCAAGCTCTGCATGGAGGAGGAGAGCTGCTCTGTCAGACCCATGAACCAGCTCAAGACCACCACTGCTCGTCTTCCTGATTCTGCACAAGGAAATCACGGCATCCATGCCACAGGACTCAGAGGGAATAAGCCCCAACCTGCAGGATGCAGTGCTTAGACTTACCCAGGGATGCCTCCCGACTCAAGTTTGTTCGCAATATCCACATCCCAAGACCACACATCGAACTGCCACTTCCGCAGGCCCAACACGCCGCACAGCACCGACCCAGAGTGTATTCCAATCCGCATATCGACGTCATGCTTCGTCCTCGACCGTACATACCTGAAGAAAGAGCTCAGCAACTTACAATTTATCCAAAGGTTCTAGCTAGCTGTCTTTTTTATAGGGTTATTTAAGAGGAACATGGAATACTCTCTTCAGGTTACCATCCATTTGCCAAGCTGGGAATACAAAGCTCCCCAGGAGACGCTTTTGTGATGACGGCCCCTCAACCTTTGAATCCCTGTCCCTGGAGGACTCACTGGTGGCCACCTTTGGGACTTGGTTCATCACACACAGATGCTGCAGCATCCAGCTTCCTCTCTTTCCTACCACAAACAAAATGGAACACAGGGAGCCAGGTACACACACAAGCCCACTCTTCACCCTCACCATTGTTTTGATTTTCTATCCTACATTTTGAGTCTAAGGAGTGCCCCATTCCTCTGCCAAACAACAAAGGTCCATGGGCCAGTGAAGGTATGATGCAGACTGCAGGATCATCCAGAAATGAAGACATAAACCAGAGATAAAGCTTTGGTTTAACAAGTTGTTACCTGCTCGTGCCTTTGGAACTGAGCAAGCTCTGCACTGAATTATAAGACAGACACACAATTTCACCTGGGAGGATTTAAGACGCAGCTTCTACTATGCAAAAGCTCTGTCCCCATTTTGAATCAGGTTTTGAGCCCTTCAAGCTGTGTCTGACTTAAAAGAATCCAGACTTTTGCTTGGGGCCATATCCTGACACAACCAATACTCAGCGCTTCTTGCTAATTCTGTCCCCTCCTGCCTTGGCCCCACAAACAAGCTCATTTCTGCAGAGAAGAGGACCTCTAAGGTCTCCCTTTACCAGCCAAAAATGAAGTATAAAATGTAGGGATGTGTGAGAAATTGCCTTCAGTTCATTTCAGTAGATGAGTTTACCCACTTTATACCTTTCAGACTGAAGGCATACTCAGATTCAATTTGAGGAAAAAGTCTATACATCTTCAAGCTTGCAACATGATTTGTGGACTAAAACATGTATTCTACAATATGTGTACATTTTAAAAAGTTTGCATATTTCAAAATGAGCACATTTCCAGAATACGTTCAATTGATGCATATCTTTGGGAGATAGAAACAGAAATGGGCACAGCTTTCCATGCAAAAAGAACAAAAACGGCAGGGGCAAAGCTCACAATCTGAGACAGAGTTAAATTGGAATGGGCTTCTAGGTGGAATTTGAAGGACTTTGGTGAGCTCCTGTTTTGCTCCTATGGACAGTCCTAATAAAATGCTATTTCCTGGAAGAGGTCTTACTAAAGTGCTAGTTTTGAACCTTTAAAAAACCTGCTGCTTCTCAAGGTGAGTCAGGAGCAGCTTAGGCACCTTTCACATGTGACTTGAACCCTTTGTGTTCAGCCATTTGTCCATTCGCCAGTGGCAAGTTAAGAATTCCATTTAGGAAATCATGTTGGGAAACTGTTTCTTGGAGGTGAGAAATAACCATATGCAAATATACCTAGAAAAGTGGGACTAACCTCTGATTAGATATCAACCTGACTGCAGTGCGTGATATAATATGCCACCCAGTGTGGTGTAGTGCTTAAGAGTGTGGACTGGGACACAGGCGATCTGGGTTCTAGTCCCTGCTCTCAGTCAGGGCCATTGATGTGAGGATAGGATTGAGAGGAGAATTTTGTAAGACGCCTTGAGTTCATTGGAAGAAATAAAGGTGGGATATAAACATAATAAACAAATACAATATTTCTGGGCAGGTGGGTGAGTAGATTTTTGCAGGCAAATAACTTTTGCCAACTTGTTACATGCAGGGTTGAAATAAAGAAGCACATACATACAGAGAAAGAAATCCACTGACCATAATGACAGCTGTGGCTCAAGTGAAAAATAATTATTCTTTCAATCTTCAGCAGAATTTAAACATTCTGCTGAAGATTGGGTGCCTGTGCACTGGGGGCATTGAAGTACACACAGAACTAAAACTTGAAAAGTTTATTACATGTGATTGGAACAAAGGAGACTATAAAATACACCAGCTGCTTCCTTCTTTGAAAAAGTAAAGGGACATTTCCTAGCCCTAAGAAGAACATTTTTAGCAGAAAAAGAAAGGCAGCAATAAAATCCCTCTGAAGAGTGGATTATCACTGGAACACTTAATTTCTTTCCATGGTCTTGTGGCGCACACAATACCGCTATTAAACTGGAGCATGAAGAAAAGAGGTAGATGGAGATATCTGAATGGAAGCAGCCACAAGGTTCACTGAGCCCATCAAACTTTTCCCCATAAAAATCATTATACAGCTATTTATTATAGTACCAACAATCAGTTTAATTAAACAGTTTCTCATCTCACTTCCTTTGTCAAGCAATTAATGGCTTTTAAAAAAATCACTTTTCCAGAATACTACCTGCTGGAAATTGAATGCTTTATTTTTTGCCAATGTCAAGGGGAAAATTGGGAAGGAAGGAGGGCATGGCTGCGGTAGCTGAGGGTGGGAACAACCCGGGCTGAGCCCAGAAAACTGCTTTTGGAGTCGCAGTTTAAGAACAGAAGAAATGCCTTGCTAGGTCAGACCACAGGACTCTCTAGTTCTGTGTTCCATTCCTGCAGTGCCAAACCAGGAAGGAAAAACACGAGCAGGACATGAGTGCAATGGACTTTCCCACTTTTTTGGAGAGCCTCCCATAATGCCATTGCAGCTCTGCTTGTTTTGCTGCAGCTGAAAGTTCCTTTTGCACCTGAAGGTCCAGCCACAAGCTCAACAGAAAACTAGCACTGGGAGCAAGTGGAAATGCTTGTTTCTAGAAAAAGAAGGGTCAGTCTCTTTGGTAAAGGGAGCCTCCTCCACCACCAGCTTCCTCTTCACTAGTACAGGTTCTGCTAGTGTGCCGGCGAGATTGGGTGCAGCCCATTGTTCCTCGGCAACTGGTGTGGCCTCCAGTCCTTGGACCTGGAACATTACGTCCTGCAACATGTGAAGTGGCACAAAACAGACCATGTGGGAAATGCATTTTCTCTAAGCAGCAGGTCATGATAGCTAACCCCAGTCCATACACGTTTCCTTTCTTTGTGATGAGTTTTTGAAAGTAGGCCCCTGCCAATGTTGAGTCATATCAAAGGAAATCTCATTTCTTTTACTGCAGAGAAAAAAATCCACTTGTGAAGGAGAATTAGCAACACTGTTTGTCTCCTTTGATCTCGCCTGCCTGAACGCTTAGGCTTTTTTGAAAGGAGACAGAATCAGTTGAACACTCCATGTGTCCTTTGGATTTGGCCAATAGGCGCATCCAGAGAGAGGAAATGGAGTTTCTGGAAGAAAGCTAAGCAAAGTGCTCTTACAGTGACAGGAACTGCCAAGAAAGCAATTTGCTTGCACTGTCCCATCCTTGAGGGTTACAAGAATGGGGAGGAGGTGTGTGCATCTAATGCTGTTTTGCAGCTGTTAATTTGCCACACGCACTCATCACAGCACATTGACCAGAGCTCTTGATGACCTCGGTCTGGTGTGAGATGGAGGCAACAGGTTGAAAATTGAACTTGCTTTTTTAATAATACAGCTGCAATGTTCAAAGTTAAAACAGAATAACATTTCGAAGGTACAAGCCAAGGATAGCTTTCTGCTCACCCACCTTAACTCTGTGGCCAAACCTTACTTATTCCATTCATATTTACAAGTTTAGGCTCTCCATCAACCCAAATGGACCCGTGTCCAAGTGAGAGCTTGTCCATTCATTATAATCTGCTTCACCAACTCAGGTGGGTGCCTTGTTCACTCATTTCTACTCTACCTTGTTACACCAAGTGGGCCGATGTGCACTCAGTTTTCCTGTATTTTAATTGGATTTTCCCTTCCTGCCTTATTGTGAGCCAATCCCAGAAGCCCTTTGTAAGAACAACATATACTGGATAAAAATTATTTATCAATCATATATCCATCCACATCACACTGTTGACTCATATTCAGCTTGTGACCTATGACAATTCCAAGATCCTTCTCACTTGTAGTATCATCGAGCCAAGTATTCCCCATCTTGAAACGATGCATTTCACAGGTGTAGAAACTGGCATTTTTCCTATTAATTTTAATTCTGTTGTTTTTAGGCCAGTGTTCCAGCCTGTAAAGATCACTCAGAAGTTTTGTTTCCCACACAGTTTTGTGTCATCTGCTCTCTGGCTCTTTGCTTGCCAAGCAAGCAAGTGGTAGCAATGATGAGAAAAAGATGGAGAAAGGGCAGCTGGTGAGAATGGTGCTGAGAAGGCAGACCTATTAAGGGGAGGGGTCCTACTAAGGCAACTTTCCCACAGACCCTTATAACCCTCAAGCTGGCCAGGGATGTATGAAGAATCGGATGCAGGGATGGGTACGAGTAAAAATCTGACATATTTTCTGGACTGTACCCTGACTTCTCTTCCATCACCAACATTAGCCCCAACTAGATCAATGGTGTGTCAACACACAAACTTCTGTTTTATACAAGTTGCATAAAAAAGGTAAAAAACAGAAATCTAAGCAAACTTTGGGCCTCCAATTCATAGTTTGCACACATTTGCACAAATTCCAGAGCAGGAGCTCAGTGTTTGCACAAATCTGAAATTAACTACCAAAAGATTTACAGAGGTCAAGGTGGAGTGCATGAATATGCAACAAGAGGAGGTTGCTTCCCTATGTCTTATGCTAAAGGCTACAACAAGAACAACAATAAAAACTCAGATCTGATGAACCAGTTGCAATTCGTACAAACTGTGATTTGTGTGAATTGTGCCAAATGTGTGACATTCACAGCTTCAGATTTGCACAAATTTCGAGCTATCTTGCAGAAATGATCAAAAGCAGTCCCCAGCTCAGCCTGCTTTTAGCTGTTGTGTCCTGCAACAGCAGGGGGGTTGGACCCAATGGCCTTCACGGCCCCTTCCAACTCTACTGTTCGATGACTTCATGATCGGAAATGTGCTGAAAGACCATTACGCTCAAACAGAATGAGCCTCCTGGTGTTGCATAATCCCAGAGCTGGCACTGCCTGTGACAAATGCCAGTGCCCAGGATCTTGTGGAGGTTCTCCCAAGACTAGGTGGACAAATGGTGTGCTGTGCAGCTTCATATGTTACAGGCCTTCAGCCCTCTTTCTAAAAAGCAAAGAAGACCTACCTATACCAGCACCACAAACTTAGGATTCAGTACAGCAGGAAGGGGAGAATTTTAGGTTCCACCTCCATAATCTAGTAACAAGGAACTGGGAATCACAGATGGAGGCTCTGTGTGTCAGCAGCACTAAAAAGGTGAGAATAAAGGAAACGAATTACCTGATTGTTTTGATCATGCTGAGTCCCATTTCAACACAACAATGCGCATGATCCTGACGAGGTTCTGGCAGGCCAGACACACAGTAGTAGCAATCTCCCAGGATCTTAATTCTGAGGCAATGATGTTCCTGTATCCAAAGGGAGAGAGAAGAATGAGCCTCAGCGATGAGATTGCATGTGCAAGAGCAGGGTAGATATGACGAGACAAACATGGGAAGAGAAAACTGGGAAGCTTATCATGATTTGTGTGTCGGTGTGAAGCACAATGAGCATTCCTGACCTTTTGTGCCCAGAAAGAAGTAGGCACAGGGATTTCCTGGAAAGAACACTATCGGAAAGACTAGCAAGGGCTGAACTTTGGAGATGGTGCTGGTTTGCTAGCCAAATTTCTCCAGTCAGAAATCAATATACGATTCCACAGAGACTGTAATGAAGGGAGGCAGACTTGTGCTGGGCAAGCTACAAGCTAGCAGTGAGAATGGAAAGCAGAGCTCCTATTTAGGAGTGGAGAACGCCCAGGTGACACGGCATTGTACACAACCTACAGCAACGGAGAGTATCGGTAATTATATCTCTGGAGGGTCAGTTCAAAGGGGTCCCGCCAAAAATGTCCTCTGGTGGGTTCCAGCTGATGACGGTGAGGCCTGGCAGTCATGCTTTAGAACAGTGCCAAGCAGCCATTTAATTTTCCCAGGATGCCCCTGGTCTCATGTCGTTCAAGGACTCTGTGGGGAATTAACATGATGTTCATGGCAGGTGTTTGGAGCACTCCCTGGACCTCTGTCATTGTTGTCACATTGTGGGTACCTTCATAGGATTAGAAAGCAGAGATGGGTTAGGGCAACCTATCCGGTCTGCTGCTCTCAAGATATTTGGACAACTAGTCCAATCCTTAGCTAGTCTGGGAGATGTCGTCCAGGTCAGCAGGAAGGCGTAGCAGCATGAACTGCTGAATTCAGCCTGACTGGGTGCTGCTCCTTGGGAGGAACCGGGAAGTGGGTTGGGGAACACCCCCACTTCTGGTCTGAGGAAAGAATGGCCACAACCTGAGAGAGCTCTGTATGGAAGCCTTTATTTAAATAAAACTTGGAAGTTTGTCTGGAAGTAGAATCTATTCGACTCTGTGGCTGAAGTCCACCAACTCTGAAACATGGTGGTAGTGGTGGCTGAGGAAGAAGAATGGTGGGTGGAGAGAAAGTGGGGAAAAAGGTGAAAATGGAGGGCCTGAAACCATCAAGGACATTAAACTTAGAAGTTAGCCCAGGGATAGAAAGGCCGGAAAGAAGAGTCCATTCTCTAGGTGGATAGTGCAATGCCATGGATCTCTGAAAATGAAACTGCTGTTATATTTGATTGGGGAAAGGAGGAAACAAACGAGACATGCAAACATTACTCAAGCACAGCTATCATCAGTTTTGATGTCCACTGCAGCCCCAGAAAGAATGAAACAGTGGAAGGAGACAGCTTTTTCTTTTGGGACCAAGCAATGGGGGAAGACTTTAAGGAACACTGTACCTCTTCTAGGGCTCCTAAATAAAGGACCATATCATTTCTCACAGGACACAGAAGCACGAGAGAGATTGCTGAGGGAAGCAACCTTGACCTTGAGAAAAGCCTGGAGGTATGCAGGGCAGCTGAGTTTTCCAAAAACAGCCTAAAGCACTAGATGAGAAGGATGTGGTGAGAGCCCACCTACCAATTAAGCAAACTGACTCTGAGGAAAATTGTACACCTGGATTATGGCCTCTGGAAGGATGTGGAACTGCTCTTGGATTTCCACCTGTGAGGTGCTGCTTGGCTGATGGCCTCAGCATTAGGCACAGCTATTTGATGTTGTTATGTACTGTCAAGTCATCCTCAACTTAAGGTGACCCTATGAATGGACATCCTCCAAAGGGTCTGTCCTTGGCAGCCCTGTTCAGCTCTTGTAAACTCAAGGCTGTGGTTTCCTTTATGGACTCAATCCATCTCATATTTGTTCTTCTTCTCTTTTCCTAGCATGATTCTCTTCTCCAGGGAGTTCTGCCTTCTCGTGATGTGATGCACAGCTGCACCAGCTTGAAAAAAGGCCAACATTAGAAGAGGCAAGGTGCTGTTTGGACTTGGCAACTCAGTTTTCCTTCACTTAAAGGAACTCCTGCTGAATAGTACAATCTTATGACATGTCAGAACTCTTGGTTTCAAACTTTCAAAATGATTGTTTGGACCATTATCTAAATCTGAGAAACATATCTTCTCCTTTCTGCCTTTTTTCCTGATGTATTATGTGCATCCCTGGTCAGGCAATAATTTTATGGCACCAGTGTGGAGATGCTAGACTACTGCTGGATCATTGCTGGCTCTCAACTCCGTTAACCATTTACAATCCAGGACAGACTTCTCTCCTGCACACACATTTGTAGTATGGTCTGGCTTACTTCTTGTTTTCTCTTTTGGTTCTACTTTGCAGTCTGTCCATTTTTGGCTTGCTCTGTACTCCTGACTGCAGGCCCTTGGCTTTTGGTTCTTGGTTCCCTTAATGCAATGACTGATGGTCCAGTCTTGGACTATAAACATGGACTAATTCTAAGTGGCATCTAGAACCCCAAAACACTTTTATCAGGCACAGGAAGATCAGCTTCAGTGTGTTCAGAAGCCAATATCCCAGGTCTGATTGAAGGGGAATTGAATCCTCTGGTCAGGTATGAACCTAGGGGTTGGGTACAGTTGTCCTGGCATTTATGGTATGACCAACATATATAGCTATATATGTGGAGAGATGGGCCATTTGGCACATGCAAAAACCCAAGGAGGTGAATTTAAAGCTGAGAACAAGGAGTGTTTTCCACTACTCCTCAAAGAAAGATCTGTTTGGGAGGAAATGCAGTCCATGTGCAGAAATGATGTTTGAAATGTGACAAAGAGACTGCATGGAAATGGGGAATCTCTACTGGATTATTAAAGAGCCAGGTGCTTCATTTTTAAGCTTTGCCCCACAAGCAGCTCTTGGGAATATTCTGAAAAATGAGAGAAAGCCACAACGGCTTGGATCTTGATGGCTCATTAAATGCTACATGTCAAACCATCTGTTTAAGAAAATTGCCAAAAAAGAAAAAGAGCAATTTGCCAAAAGAGAGAGAGGGAGAGAAAGAAACATCCCTGATGAGTTGCAAAAGGGGCTGGGAAGGATTTGTCATATGTGGCTGTTGAGATCTTTGGGACAAGATGCTGATTTTAAAGAAATTCCTGTCCTTAGAAACAATGTGCAGTAAGGATCAAGGTGGCCAAGAAGTTTAAGGCCTTAGAAAACCTGGTGCTGGTGAAACACCACAGTACATAGCCCTTTCCAATGCTTTTGCTACTATTGCTACTATTTCTATACCACCCATAGCTGTGGCTCTCCTATGCATCAGATTTTCCATGACAAACACAGCAGATGATGTGAATATGATTGCACAAATACAGTAGGAGTGTAGTAATGCAAATTTAAAATAAGGGTTTTAAGAAGAACCATGCTGGATCAGGTTAAGGATTCGTCTAGTCCAGCATTCTGTCCACACAGTAGCCAGCCAGCTGCCCGTGGGATTCCAGAAGCAAGGCAGTGAAGAAAGCAGAAGAAAACCAATGCATTTGCAACGTGGCACTGGAGGAGAGCTTTGTGAATATCCTGGACTGACACAAAGACGAACAAGTGGGTTCTAGAGAAATTCAGGCCAGAGCTTTCCCTACAAGCAAAAATGACAACACAGAGGCTGTTATACTTTGGATACTTCATGAAAAGGCACAATTCAGTGGAGAAGACCATCAAGCTCGGGAATGTGGAAGGCAGAAGAAGAAAGGGAAGACCAAATAAGAAATGCATTGATTCCATAAAGGAAGCTACAGCTTGAATTTAGAACAGTTAGGCAAGGATGTCATGGAAAGGACATTTTGGAGAGCTTTCATTCATAGGGTTGTCATAACCCGGAGACGACGTAACAGCAACAATAAATGAACAACATGAACTAAGGATAGAATCCAGTGTACATTTAGATAGGAAAAAGACCTACAGTTCCCAATATGGAAATGCTGGGACTTACAGCCCTTTTTCTGTTTAAACTTGCATTGGATTGTACCTTAAGTCATATAAGAACAGTTTGCTTGTGATTATATATGGTGAAAGATCTCTAATCCCACTGGTGTGGTATTACCACTCAGTGGGTCAGCCTGAACCTTTAAGGAGCTAGCTGGAGCTCTAAAGCTATTCCATCCCAAAGAGAGATTCAGCACCATGGATAGCTACTTCAAACCTCAGGCATCTTAAACAGTTTGGTTTCTAGCCTCTGTCTGCAGAGCTCATTACTCTCCTTGGAAATTGGTACCATTGTCAAACTGCTTTTGCCCGTTAGATCTTGTCCTGCCCCCTGGGGCAACAGAACACAAGCCTTAACTCTCTCCCATGCGACAGTCTTCAGGCATTTGAGGACTCCTGTCAAGGGGAGACATGCCGGGTTTCTTCAGCACTTCCTCATGGAATTTGTTTGTATACCACTGACCAACTTCATTGCCCTTCTTTAAGCACATTCCAATTTGTTTGCTTATTTATTTCCAACATTTATACACCACTCCATAGCAAGACAGGTTCCAGAGTTCACCAGAGCGGTGACCAATAAAAAGAGAAAAGAGATAAAAGAATAAAAAACAATGAGTTGAAAATAGAATAATATTGAAACATTCGATGCTCATCAGGGAAGTCTTCCCAAAACAAAGAAGCAGATGCCAAAAACAACACAACTTTTAAACCCTGCCCAATCTCTGGAGGTAATGTGTTCTGGAGAAGTTGTGCTCTACACTGAAGTTCTTCTCTTGGTGGACTCCGGTGCTGCCACAGGTCCATGAGGAACAATCAGAAGAATGTCCTGCAAGAACCTCAGTGACTGGCTGGGTTGGTAATGCACTCTGTCAGGTTTATATCCTTCTTACAAGAACCAGAACTGGTCTCAGGGGTCCAGCTGAGCTAATTTAAAAATTTTTTTAGTGTTATATTGTTATTATTTGTGTATTTATGTATTTGTTTCAGTTGTGAGCTGCCCCGAGGCTTCATTGCGATGGGGGCGGCATAAAAACGTTTTAAATAAATAAATAATAAATAAATAAATGTAGCACAAGC